GAATTAAAATTTTGAGTGACCGGGAAAGCCGAATCGAATCCGAATCCCGGTCTTGAAAACCGGAAACTAACGGTATGAAAACTCTGAAACACCAGAAGAGCAAAATCGAATCCGAATCCGGGTCCAGAAAAACCGAATCGAACCGAATGGTATTTTTGTCATTCGTTTCGGTCTCTGATTGGTACACAAACGTGAAAATTCATTTGGTTTCAACGTTGGAAAACATGTACCATTATTTTCGCAAGGATTTGAAATACAACGATCGTGTATCAATTCGCATCGATGACCAAAATGCGTTGATGGACAGTCACAGTATGACAGTTTATTACCACTTAGCAAACTTCGATAATTAGGTTTACACAGCGCATTTCCCGAAAAATAATTCATTTTGCACATTTGATCGATCACTGAACAATCGATTTCCGTAAAATTATTCTTACAAAGACAAATAAATTTAGACTTTTGATTGAGTAATTATTCTTTGGTAAGCAAAATTTTTCCTAACTCTCAAGGCTTATCATTCGCCGTTTAATCTTAACATGCTAATATTACAAGTTAATATCCTATATCAGATTTCTTAAATAATTTAAAGTAATGATTAGAATGCAGCTAGAAGAGAACATAATAATGATAGTACATTTAGAAAGTCATAAAATTAAGATCTATAAAAATATCGAACGAGCATAATAGAATATTCTTTTGTATTCACGTGCCCTCTCAATTCTTCCTAGCATATCTGCGATATATCTGCTATATCATGCGATTTCAATTGAGCTCGATTTTCTATTCAAATCATCTTAATAGATTACTCTACTTAGTAAACTAAAATAATTCTAACGAAAAGAAAAAGTAGTGAAATTTTCAAAAGTGCGTTGTTCTTGTTTTTCGACTAAATTCTGTATGCGACGCCGTTTGCATTGTTTTGTCCAATAAACTATTTCTTACTTTCACGGGGTAGCAACCATTTACCTATCTTATCTTGTTCTTTTTCTTTTTCTATTTGAATATCTTTTAACTACAAGTTCTTTTAAGAACGCATTCATTTGTCATCGACTGTAAAATAGTCAAGGTGAAAATTCTATCATCGCTAAATGCAACTAAAGAAACAATTCATTGTCATCTAGGATAGCCTATTTCGAATAGGATATGCACAGAAATATAAATTCACTATGATGCAATATATCATCGGAGTTATTCAAAATTGCACAACAGTTAACCATGATGAATTTCATTTAATATCTATTTCGAAAATTTAGTAATTTTTGATAATTAATTTAATAGGGACAAAGTTTTTCATTTTTTTTCATATTGGAATACGTGATACACATATATTAGTTTATCATTTTTCATATGCAACGTATTCTGAGCATTTGTCAAAAAAAGAAATAATTCAAATATGTCCTACAGTATGCAAATGCTTTCCATATTACTCATAACATGATGACAAGGTCTTTGAGATCCGATGCTTTCATCTTGCTCAGTTATAGAAATAATAAACAACGTTCAAACTTCAAAAGGGCACTGTAATAACGCATACTTACATGGAGCCTCATCGACGAAAGTAAATAAAATCTATCTTTTTCTCACAATCTTTGAATTTTCGTAGAGACTTTATATAGGTTTTCGAATGAAATACTTGAGCTAAAATCTAAAATTTTTCCACAACCGATTGTTGTTTATTGTAGTCGATATTCTTGCGGATCTCCGTTGAAATTGCGTTCATTCATATAAAACTCTTTATTTTATTTTGATTATTCATGTAGTTTTTTTTCATGGCCAATATATTTCCCAACAGACACCAATCAGGATCCTTTATTATAGAACTATTCCGGAAGTTTCATTTATTCAATAAATAAAGGCAGAGCATGCTATTCAATTTGATAACAGCCGTCGTCCACATTCCAGATCGAGTACCGTATCCACTGAATCTGATGACATGAGTATTATCAAAATGGGTCCGTGTCACTATAACTATGAACAGAACTGACTTTTCCAAATAGATTAGCCGAGATTTTATTCGTAAAAGTACTTCATTAACAAATTATAGTCTCTTTCGATTCAATCAATAATTCAACTTATTGTTCATGCTATGCCAAAAAACCTTGCTTCAATGTCACGAACAATAATATATATATATATTCATCTCAGAAAATAAATATAACATATCCTTCATATGTCATAGACTTATTATGATATATGCGAACATTCAATTCGACACTGTTATTGTCCTTTACATTACATCAACAAGACATTATGTTTTCCTGAGTACATGTTCATATAATGAAATGCAATACCATAACATATATTGTATGTCTTCCTTTCACATAAACATTGGCTGTAATTATTACATGTGTTGTATGTGAACAGTTCATTTATTTGTATGTATTAATATAGGCAAATATTTGATGAGTTGTCGAAGTTAGAAAAAGCTATAATCATTTATTTACAAAATAGACACTTCGATAGCTGTGAATGACATCTTAGATAAATATTCATTTGTTCATACATCAAAGCTATGACATAATCGATGATGATCACAGTGCGTGATTTAGCTCACAATAAGACCAATCATTATTGTAATAGCATTGATTGAATAAGTACACAAACAAAAGAAAAAGGAGACTCGTTTCTCTAATAGCACGAAAGAATACATTTCCCAATTGAGTTACTGGTTTTTCTTTCGGATTAATATTTATCTTTCTTTTGCTACAAACGACAAGAAAGGAAAAGCTAGAGAAAATTTTCATCGATAAAGAAGCATTATTTACTCGAACATTTATTTTGTAAATGTGTTAATTAAAACTTGAAGTGCCATTAAATAGTTGTCGAAAGTGTCCACACGATTTGTCTGCATAAATATACTCGCTTACTATGTTATATCAGTCAATCTCGTATGATTAAATGTTATAATTGATCTTGATTATCAAGTTGAGAGAAGGCCAGAGAGAGAGAGAGAGAGCGCGAATAGTAGAGACAACAGTTCATAAATTGTCAGCGGAAGACAATTGAAGACGATGTATTGTATAGCTTTATAGACATACTAAAGTTAAAGAATTGAGCAGTTATTTGCCAACATTCTACTTCCTATCAAGCTATGAATCAATAATTGAATCACAATTGCGTAAGTAAAAAGAAATAAGACGAGACTATTGTCTTACAGATGAACATTACTATAGACATAGAAAGAAAAGTAGTGAACATACAAAACCACTTGAACCATTCTAATAATGCTTGACCTTATTCTTCATAGATTGTTCACATCAGTTTTTTGCTAAGAAAAAAAAGATAGACAGACTATCTTTATTGAGGCACTTTACAACATCGGTCATACATGCATATACTTCTTTCCTTGTTCTTTTCCTTCTTCGTTTGATTAGAAATGTCTGGAAGAACACAATATCGTTTCTCTAGTATTCATCTATTCATGATCTTATCTCTATTTATATGTTCTTGATTACAATCTTCAGGAAATTATCAATAATTTATTGATGAGCCCAATTAAGACAACTACGCAATCATCGTTTCAAGCACGTTCTACTTCTGAAGAATCTTACTGTTCACCATGGGATCTTAAATTACAAGAAGAAAAATTAAAATTACTTAATGACCAACATCAAATATCACTATCGAAGCCTAGTGCACCATTAATGGATGATGTACTTCAATCATCAAATATAAACAATCAATCAGCATGTTCAACATTCAATCGTAATCATGCAAATATGTTATTTCATCCAACGTGTTCAGTACGTCAATCATCATCAATAACAACAAGAAAATCTCTGATACATCTCGACCTATTACCACCTGAACTTCCACCGTTACCACCAGGTGGTTTAGTACCACCGTGTCCATCGAGTACTAACAATAATACTCATAATGAAAATTCGATTATAGACAATCTTGATCTGCCATCAAAAAGCATCATTCATGGTCTCAATCAACATAAAATTTGTTCCGGTACAGATACTTCACGTAGTTTTTTATTTGCTATAACATCACCATGTAGTAAACGTAGTAAAAAAGTGGACACAACAACAGCAACAACAACAACTAAAGATGACAATCCACCAACATTATTTGCAGTAGGTTCATTGTTAAGAAAAAATATTAGAAAGTTTTCCATCTTTTCTTCAGGCAGCTTTACTCCGTTTTAAACATTTAAGTTCATCAGTTCAGAATAATTCTCTATATAAAATAGAGACAGCTTATGAACAGCCGTGGGAAAAATTGCAAACATCTTTTATTAATAATCTTTCATCGTCAACTAATCGTAATGGGGGTTCATTGCAGAAAATACCTTTTACAGAACAAAAACATCAACGGTGTTCATATGCAGATGATACAAAAATAATTCCAATTGATCGTTATTTGTATGTGTTTATTAAAAAAAAAAGATTCTCGTTTTCTTCAATATATATGTATTTAGTTGGTATCATCATACAATGTCTCGGCGACAAGCAGAAAATGTTTTAGAATTTCGTCCTCACGGTAGTTTTCTCGTACGTCAAAGTGAAAGTGGAAATCAAAATGATTATTCACTTTCTATTAAGTACACAAATAGATTTTTTTTTTTAAATCTATACTTGCTGTCTTCTACTTTGAATAGAACAATGCAGGGTTGTATGCATATGCGTATCTGCTATTCAGCAGGCTTCTATATACTTGGTGAATGCTCACGACCATTTTCAAGTGTATCAAGTATGATTAAATATTTCAGTCAAGTATCTGTACCTATTCGTGGCGCAACACATATTAAATTAGGTACACCGGTATTACGATGGGAGATACTATCAACATCGTCATGGTCGAATGAAGAACTTTTGTAAATTTATTTTCTGGTGAATTTTATCTTCTACGCTTTAGCATTGGAATCTTAGCGTTTGATTATTAATTAAATAAAAATAAATTTAGTCTTCATTTTTAGAAGATTGTTTACGAAACTTGAATAGATATAATACGAAAAAAAAAGTAGTCTTTTGAAGATCAATTTATTTTGGGGAAAAAAAAGTGAAATAAATATAGAAGAAGTATTGTGTACGAGACTAATAGTAGTCGATTTCAAATGACTCAATAGTCTTTCATTAAGAAAAAGTCTATAGCTTCCATTGCATACGAATATTAGATTTTCTGATTAGATTTTTGCGTGCTGTAATTTCTAGTCAAAGAATTTTATGAAAATTTTCAGTTTTCTTTGATTACAAACATTTCATGACTGGCAAATAGCGACACACTTCATGCTAGCCTCCTTCTGTTACTAGACGATCACAACTATTTTTATAGTAATAATGGTTAATCAAATACTTCTTCATTTATTTTTCACATTCGATTGAACAAAACAACTATGTCACGTAACTACACTGCTTCTCAATTCGAACAAACATTTGTACCAAAACGTTTACAAATGTATCAGGTTCCACGAGATCCACAACCAGGAGTGGTTAGTATATCGTACGTTAAAGTGAATAAATCAATTCAATAGAAGTTTTATTATCTAGCATCCTTCAGAGACAACTACCTTAAGTGGAAGTAGTTTTATTACTGATAGCAAAGGTCATATTTTACCTGGTGTAAAAAAATCAGAACGATCACCTTTTGGTGAATTTATTGGTACATGGGATTTACCTAAGAAGATTCCTGGTCCTTATCATGTACATCCAGTGGGACGAACCGAAAAAAGTTTCAATTCACTTTGTGCACAACGAGATCAAACTGTTCAACAAATGGAAAAAGCACGAGTCTACGCAGTGAGTTTTACGATAAGCTTTCGTTTTTATAATTTGTTCATTTGTATTATAGAAAGAAGGATCATCCAGTCAATGAATCTCACAAAACACAAATAAACAATACTTGAAAAATTAAAAACAAAAAGACTTTATTTTTATTTAAATTATTTTTATGCTTTTCGAATAAGATCATCGAAATCCGCATGCATGCTGCCCAGCCTTCGAATGTCATATATATATATATATATATCAAATGAATTGTAACAGTATCTGCTATGTATAGTCCTGAATTTGAATTTTAGCGGCGATTTTGTGAAGATCTATACATATGTGTAATCAAAAATAAATAACCGATGGGATTTATTCAAAATAGACTTTGACGATTTGACACCCGTATGTCAAAACTGCACACACTTCTTTGTTCTAGTCAAATTTTATTAAGAAAAGTTAATAAAATGCGAAATATTTATATTATTGAAGTACACATCATAACGCCATTCACTAGGCTACATTATGGCAATAAACAAAACATTTTCGCTATTTCTGAGTATTCACATAGAAATTTTTTTCTTCCAAGACAGCATTGAGCAACTATCAGTAAGTTCTTAAAATAAAACTTTCCTGCCTTGCCTTCTTGATCAACGTTCAGATAAAAATTCCATTGATATTGATGATGAACGTACGTTGACACTCATGTGCGACATCTGTTGAACTCTTTAATGATACGAATGCTATTTGTATTGAATATACCAAACACATGAAATTATTATTACTACTATTGTTTTGTTTTTTTATCAGAGTTTCGGTAAATTTCGTAAAAAATAACATTTCTCACACATCAAAACTATTTCTAATGGAATTACGCAATTTTCATATTCGATCGAGATATTCACCGTGTTGTTCTATGCGGTATCAACGAAATCTAACGAATACAAATTTTTGTTGTATTCTAAATCTTTTTCGCTTGTTTTTTCATTTTGATAAAAGAATTATCTGAATGAAAATTTTTATTATTTTTTTCAATCGTTACTTTTCAGACGATAAAAACAAGCATCCAACATGCGTCTCGAAACATGTTATTATTGTTCATCGACGGTCTGGCCTGGTCATGGTATTCAATTTGTGCGAAACGATTGCAAAGTATAACTATCCTTTTTTTTCATGTACTTTAAAAGTATTCTAATTTAAAAATGAACTAGATTTTTCGATTTTGTCGTTCGCGTTGTCATCGTGCTTTCAAGAAGAAATGGAATCCACGTAAATCACGCTGGACAAAAGCACACAGAAAATTAACTGGAAAAGATTTGACAACGGATGCAACATTTGAATTCGAAAAACGTCGAAATGAACCAGTTAAATATCAACGTGAATTATGGCAAAATACACGTAAAATATTAGTAAAATAATTTGGAATAAAAGCTAACAATCTATTTCTTATTTAGTGTCAGCCATTAAACGAGTTGAAGAAATTCGTACTAAACGAGAACGACATCATATTATGAAACGGTAAAAATTTTCTTATGCATCACAAAAGTAGCTATTAATCATTTTGGTTTTTCTTTTCAAGTCTTCGACAAGGTACACTTGATCGAAAGGCGGCTGATTTGCGCGAAGTACGCGATTATATTCATCTTGTCCGGGCACCTAATGCAACTAAACCAATGGAAGAAATTGAAATGGTACAAAAAGCTATTCAAAAACGTGAAGAAGCTGGCGAACTTCTAACTAAAGTTGGAACAACAGTATCTACAACAAAGAAACTATCAGCATTACGTCGTCGTGCACCGAAAATCGAAGTTACAATGGAAACATCTGATAATGAACAAATGCTTGCAGAAGATATGGATTAACTACTATTTGTTTTGTTGTTATCCTTTAAAAACAATAAAATGTTTACGGATCGTCTTGAAATTATTCATTGCTCTATATCGTAGAAACGAAGTATAAGTGTGTCGTATAATATAGAATCTTATATAATAATAGATTCAATACTGCGATAAGTAATAATACCTACCACTTCGGACAGAATATCAGCTGGACATGAATTCTAATGCATTTAATCGTTTGAGTGCATCGTGTATACAAACTGACTACAATATTAGTTATGTTTTGTATGACAGACAACATACTCTAAAGTAGGAGATCGAAGATAACCAATCATTAGTGACTTGATCAGAATCCTGTCTTGGCTAGTAGTACCAAATTAAAATATATTATCTTGCTGGTATATCAAACTACGCAGTTACTTAGCAAATCTATTCACTGAATTTTTATTAGCGATGCGGTAGTGATACTCTCTACCCGTCCTGTGTACAAATTTGTATTGATCTAGACATGCCGCAATCGAATACGAATCAATCGTAGGATAAAGATATAGTGGTCCTAAAATTGATTTTGAGTTTTTTTTACGAAAATAACGAAATATTATAAAGTAACAATGTACTTCTCAATCATGATTACTTTCGAACCGTCATAATCAATTTGATAAAGAGCTGAAATTTACGTTGTAGGAAATTTTTTATCTAGTATAACTGTAGCAGTTTTGCACAATTTAAAAGAATCATTTTTAAAGTATTTATTCAGCTGGAGCACCTTCCTTGAAACGATCTAGAAAATTCAGATTTCGGAATAATTTTGTTCTACAAAAGAAATATTTATTGATATGACTTAAATAAAAATTTAAGAAAATTTTCCATGAATCTGCTTAATTTTAGTCAAGTATAATACTTTTTAGTTGTCCGGTACACATTAATTTGTGAGGCTCAAGAATGTTTTAGATAGGAAATTTATTCTAATGGATTTCGAGAGTGGCTTAATTTTTATATTCAAATGTTTTCTTGAGCTACGGCTTCCTCAATTATAAAAAAAATCGAAACTAATGTAAGATTCTCACATTGACCTCTCATAGTCTAACGAGGGAGGATCACCAAGTGTTCACTCGCTTTTGCGTTGAAACTACTTACATCATGTAGCTTCCGATGAGTTATGAATACACTAAAAATATTTTGGGCGGATAGCTTATGGTGATGAAACTAGGCCATTTCTAAGGTATGAGCTTTTTTGAGTGCCTGTCTCCCCCCAGGGACATTAAAAAATTGATGTTCGAATTTTGACTTGAAACTTTTCATAGAAAGACTTGCTAAGGAGCAAAACTTCCTGTGAACATTTCAGACCTTTCTACTATTACTATCGTTAGACACAGGTATTGTGAAATTTTTATTGTACATCTTTCAAATGAAGTAGCAGATTTAATGAAACAAATAAATTCAATGATCAAAAGCATTCAAAAACACTACTATCGTTGAGGCGTATTGCTACATAAAATTTCAAGTTAAAATTCGAAAATCAATTTTCGAATGTTCCTGAAGGGGTCTACGGCAATAATTAAAAAATACAATAAAAATGGCCTATTTTCGTAACAATAAGCTATCCACGCAAAATATTTTTAGCGTACTCATAACTCCTTGGGAGCTACATAATCTAAGCAGTTTCAACGCAAAAGCGATTGAACACTTGGTGATAGTCCCTCGTGAGTCCAATCGATGATGCGAATGTTTTAGTCAAATATCAGCAAAAAAAAGAAAAGACTGTTAATAACTTTCAATAAAACGAAGGGTGTATATAAAGTCGATTTTTGTTATTTATTATGTATATCTTGATCATAGTTTTTCATTCATGAGCACAGATAAAAATTCAAAAATTCTTCAACACAATGTCGACGAATCTAATTAATCCTTAAAAAAAAACAATTTAAAATAATCTTGCTCGATACTTGAAACTCGACGAACCTTTGCTAGTCAATTTAAAGTATTATATTGATTAATAATGAAAACTTCGTTCTATTTAGTCGTGATACGTGATTACCCATGGGAAAAATTTCGTTAATTTTTAATGCTGCAAAACGCGTTAGTGATAACCGGTTTAATGCGTTCCGCAGCGGCTGAATCGGCTAAAAACGCCGCGAGATCATGTATTTTTCGTTTCCATCCTGATATAGTGGTTCCCAAACGCGTTTTGAGTAAATGGAAAAATTAGTTTTACGCTTGTATTACCATAGAAAACGCTGCGAGAGACGTTAAATCGGCCAGCATTAACACGTTTCGCAGTGAATATATCTTCATTTTTTATCCCATGGGTAGTATTGCAACTGTCTTTCAAATAAATGACTTAGAATACAATTGATAGCAATTCTTACTTTATGACTTCTATTATTTTCTAATTCATCTGAGAATGCATGCTACGCGGTGTCATTTGACACAATTGATAATTAATTGAAGAAGAAAAAAACTTATCATGTATAGTTTTCTATGAATTGTCGTGATTCCTTGTAGACTAAAGCTTCCTCTGATGAAAATCTGATAGAAAATTGTTTTGTTCTTACGGCATTTTCATTACCGGATCTTCGAAGCCCAGGTATGCGAAACTTTTAGTAGTAAAAAGATTTTTTAAACTTGAATAATATTACAATGACGATCGATTATCATACTTCAATGGCAAGAAAAAATGATGAACTTAAATCTTCATTTGAATCGTGCATTGAGGATTAACGTATTGGAATTAAAACTTTTCAAGCTTTCACACCATATTAGAGAGAAAAAGAATCAGGTCATTTTTTATCAATAAAGCTGAACGTCTAAGCTTATACTAAAAGCTGGGCTGCGATTCGACCTATATTTTCTATAATTCCTATATTTTCAAAAAGTCCTATTTTTCTCCTATATTTTCCTATATTTTATCGAAAAAAGTAGAAAATTTCAGAAAACCTCTTAATTTTGCTATTGACTTTAGACGAAAAAAAGACTTTTAATGTGTGTAATCATGTGTTTTGGACAAATTGTTTTATTATAGTGACATTTGTTTTAAACAATATGTTTCCTTTCGCCTATTTAGTGGGCTGACTGAGAAATTGTTTAATACTAAGTAAAAAATGCAAAATAGTTCAAAAGAAAAAAACATACACAAAGTGATCATGTGCTAGTTTCGGACTTTTAGTGAAATTTTAGTTAGATATAAAAGCTGTATATATATATATGTATATATACTCCCGGAAAAAATAAGTTTCCCTCTGTATTTTGAGGATATTGTTACCAAAAGAACATTGTTTTTTTAAAGTAACAACATATTCTGAAAGCCCATGCAATTTTACGCCATCCTGTGTATATGCATTTTCATTTACACTTATTTATAACCAGAAAAAATTGAGTTAAAATCAAATACACAAATCAATCTGCGGAAAATAATAAGCGATGAATGCTGATTATCAGGACAATAAAATTAGATTGAGACTTTTTGAGAAGTCATGTTCATAATCTGAAACGTCTCCTTTAATGGTGAGAAATAGTATTTGTCTTTTTCATGTATTTGTTTTTTCAAAGCTTATGATCTACTTTATCGTTATTTATCGATTTGCGAAAAACTTTTATAATGATCCTCGAATTAGCGACTTATTTCAGTAGAAAAAATTACATAAGGATCTTGGCTACAGTTGAACTGTTTATAAGAGCGTCGTTAAAACGATTTTCGAGCAGAGTAATTAAAAAACACCAAAACAATTGAACAGAAGCGGTGTATAAAATGTCCTCTCTTTTTGTCATTTTTTATCGAAAATCCTATATTCTTGACAATCTTGATCCTCTAAGGATTCCTATATTTTTATAAAAGTGCAATCAGAAGACAGACTAAAAGGAATCGTATAGTTTCATGTAGAAAGCATTTATTTATTGCCTCATCACTAAGCATTTCTTATTAAAAACACACACAACATGATGCTATCAGTAAAGGCCACTGATTAGCATATAAAAACACTGATCTTTATCAGCAATTAACATATTTTGAATGATTTAACAAGTTTATTATACTTGTAATAAACATGAATTAGTCCTTGTTGTGAAAAACAAAAAGATAATGTTGTCTCACACGCGATAATTAAATCTTGATTTACATTTTTCCTAATGCTTTTGTATATGTTGGAAAATGACGAGTCCTAAATTTTCTATCTTTGGCAGATGCTTAGGAAAATATCTCAAAGCAACAAATTGTTTTGCGGAAATATGAGAATACAAGAGAACTATAAATCTTGCTTTTGTAAATAAATATCTCATTCGACAAGGTATAATCAATCATGTTTATGGATGTTTCTTTTTTTTTTTTATAATAAATTCTTTTGTTTAATCTACGAAATGTATTGTTTATTGTGATGAACACGGAAGAAAGAGAACTTGAATAAGATAAAAGAAACAATGATCGATTGTGTGAGTATTATTTAATAAAAATCGAATGAAAAGAAGTAGACCATTGTATTATAGGATTATTTTCTACTCTATTAATAAGTACGCATGATTTTTTTAAATGCACGTATTTATGTTGTTTTTCCGAGATAAACAAAATAAACACATTTAAGTGGCCAGTCTTGAAAAGGACAATAGTCATGATTCTAAATCTTCTGTGATCATTTCAATGTTAAAAATAAGTTACAAATATTCATGATTAAAGTGTTTGTTAGAAGATTTCAAATGTTTTTACAAATTATATCGTATAGATAAATCACAAGATATACTATTGTTGTAAAGTGTAATCCATCTGTAACAGTAGCCAATTTCGAGAAAATCATTGGTGACGGTCGTCTCGTATCCAAAAGAATTAATCTAATAAAAAAAAGAATTAGAAATAGCCTGATGCAATTTCTCATGAGTATCAACCCATATTTTATCACCATGCTTGTTCTTAGCATAGAAACATCTAGCTTTGACTTTGAGCTGCAGATTCGAAAAGCTGTTTTTTAGATCTGTGCATAATTAAAATATGATTTACTTGATGTCGCGAGTCATAGACAGACACTCTTATTTGATTTAGTTTGAGTTACATTTCTCTATCATAATTTTAATAAATCTACCTGAAATGGAAAAAGAAACTAATTCAAAGATGAATAGAAGACTTTGTTGATATAGAAACTTTGACGTAAACAAGCACGAGCTGTTGTTAATCTACTTTCGTTTCTATAGTTGAACATTCCTTTCAGATCATAGTTTTCAAAAACAATGTAGAAAAGAAAACAGATCTCAAGGATAATCATATTACACACCGGGCTTAGTGAATTAACTATGTCGTATGTAGCTCGAGATCTGGCTGAAAAACTAATTCAATTTTTGATGAATTTCATTCTATTTAATTATGATAAAAATCGCTGACTATTAGTATTCATTTTGGTTTGCTTTCATAAGACTTATTTATACATGGAATTGTACACCAATTTTAGTTAATTGATTTCGACAAAAAGCTGCGTAAAACTATTTTAGCAGATATCCTTTATAAATCGTTGTTCTCGTGACAAAGCTTTAGATCATGCGTTGATTTGTATATTCTTCAAGATGAATACGATGTTGCTGACGTAGAATGAGGAAATAGAAGAATTTTTTTGTAGTACTAGTAATATGCAATGCAAATTATTTTGTAGAAAAGCAGTTAGCTTTTCTTGAAAACGAATAAATCTTTGATGTTTTTTGCTTAGAGATTGATTACAAAACACCTCACTTAACATAAATAATTCTAGGCGAAAGAAAACGAGAAAGGAACCTAGAAGGAAAGAGAATTGCTTTATGATAGAGCTAAGAACGGAAAAAAATACAATAGATTGACAATCGACATTTTCATCTTAGCATTGAGTTCTATCATTGATATGAGTGCATTTCAAATTCATAAGAAGAAGAACACTATCTGAATAATATACATAGAAGCCGATTAATAATATTAAAAAAACAACGTTCTAGATTCAATTGAATACTACTGAACAATGATAATTGTATATCGTGTTGTCGCATTACTTCTTTTTTCACTGGTCTATATTATTGGTCTTGTTGGAAACGGTCTATTAATGTGTAAGTCTAAAGTTTGAAATCAATTAAAAGAAACTACTCATTTCGATATAATTTAGTTATTGTATTTCGTCAAAAAAAATTACATACAGTACCAAATTTACTAGTTGTTAGTTTGGCTCTTGGTGATTTTCTATTTGTTCTGTTTTGTGTACCATTTGGTGCCGTTGCTTATTCTCTTAAATATTATCCATTTTCAACATTTTATTGTCGTTTTGAAAATTTTATTATTAATCTTTCTCTTGGTGTATCTATATTTTCATTGTTAGCATTGAGTGCTGATCGTTATAAAATCATTGCTAAACCATTTTCAAGTCATGCAAGTGGCTCATCAATAAAATTAAAATTAATTGTTACGTGTATTTGGCTCTTATCAGCGTGTCTTGCTCTACCCGAAACAATCTACAGTGGTAAGGCTTTATCGTAGGTTTCTTTGAATAATCAACAAATATGTTCGTATATACTGATTAAAGGTCTTATGGTGGAAACGAAACAATCGCCTGATAATACAACAATTCAATTAATTTATTGTTGGAGTCCAAATAAAGATGAATTACTTATTAATTCTACATTTATGATTACTCGTCAAATTCTACGATTATTTATTTATTATTTAATGCCTCTCATGCTCATTTCAATATTTTATTTTCTTATTGCTAAAACATTACTGCAAAAGAAAGATGTTATTTATTCTCCTAGTTTTTCTTCTCGTTCATTACACAGAAATTCAATGCATGAAGAAAGTCATTCATTAAATAAGAATATTCGTCCTAGTCAAGATCATGTATCTAATCCTCCAAGAAAAAATACATTAAATCAAGATCTAAAAAAGACGAAACAATTACGAACGAGACATAAAGTTGGTAAAACTGTTCTATTTTTATGTCTAGTATTTTTTATATGTTGGCTACCAAAACAATTACATGATTTATATTGGTAATGCCATTGATAAAAATTGCTGTAATTTAATTTTTTTTTAATAATTTTAGGTTTATTGGCGTACTTGTCTACGCGCGAAAATGGAATCATTTTTGGCAAACAAATAAAACTCTTGCTTTAATTCTAACTTACATTTATTCATGCATCAATCCATTTGCGCTCTATTTTCTTTCTTCGACATTTCGTCATTTTTACAAACGTTACTTATGTTTTTGGTCAAATAAAACATGTTGTTCGCAACGAAATTTAATTGAACATAAACAAAGACGTCGTACTCAAGAATTAATGGCAACAAATGAATCTAAACGACGTTCATCTGCAAACAATACAACAATCACAGTTTATTATGATTTAAATCGAATTACAACTTCAAATTATTCTCAACAATTAAGACCTTGATAAATCAATATAAGACATATGTTTTTATTCATTAGTATATTTTCTTCTGTATATTTGTCTTAATCTATTTGAATCAGAATAGATCAATAGCCGACACCTTCTTGTTACCAGCTTGCTATAATCAAACACATACGTATATAGATCGATTTATTTAGATAATTGATTATCATTACAGCACTACGCACTTGAGTGTTTTGATCAGTTATCGCATCATGCCTGGAAAAAATGCATAGCTTTCAGTCGTTTTATAATTACAATAGCTGATATAAAATTCAATTATCAGAAGTTTCATGCTAGAGTTGATAAAAAAATATATATATATATACTTAACGGTTTTAATGTTCTTCTTGTTGTTGATGATGTTTCCTTAGAACTGTCTGAGATCAGGCATTTTCAATTATGGTTTATTTTTTATTTATAATAGATAAGATGATACATCTACTTAATATAAACGATACGATGCACAACACTCAATATATTCAAAAGACGCATTTTTGATGAATCATTACTTTGCAGAAAAAGACACCTATCGTAGAATTGATACAAAAAGTCGAACATTTTGTATCACTCATAATTTCTTGGTTTGAAATGAGAAGTTNCCCCCCCCCCCCACCCCCCCCCCCCCCCCCCCCCCCCCCCCCCCCCCGCCCCCCCCCAGCACGTTAAAGTTTCCAACCAGTAACATTATTTTTGGGAAATTTCATAAGCCTTCTAATAATTAATTGATTTTCTTTGATTGATGTACTTCTTCATAATCACTATCATAAACTCTCCAATGAAAATAGATCAGAATTGATATGAAACATCATCTTTATTGCATGGGCAAATATTAAATTGATGTACTCGGATTCTAGAAAATGACTTGGGGCCAGAATGCCGCTTATCATTCTGGGATGAATTAGAACGGTAGTCACTAAGAAATAATGTAGGCCTATAGGTATACGTATAGTTTGAGGTCACATCCACAGTCTACATATTTTGTTTAGCTTCTAATGTAATTGTTTTCTTTAAAGTTCATCGTGGATTTTCACTAACAATGGAGGTGCTTGTACTATCCGTGAGAAAAACGGAATATTTTCGAATTAAATGAAAGTTCTCATAGCCAAACTAACAAGGTAAAAATATTGGCTGCTATTAGCTTGCCTAGACTGAGATATTCAATTTTTCAGTGAATTTTCTCTTCAGGACCGGCTTTCCCAGAAATATCATATTCTCAAATTTGAACCTGAAACTTTGTATACATGAAGGTTTCAATGAGACTAGCTTACAGAAAAAAAATCAGAAGTTTTGGACAAACCCTCTTCGAGATATGAATCTCTTAAAATATAGACGATTTTCTATAGAAGCTGTATGCTTGAGACATCTATATTTCGAGGAGAGTTTTTCTAAAACTTCTGATTCTTTTTCTATAAGCTAGTCTCCTTGAGACCTTCATGCATACATAGTTTCAGGTTCAAATTCAAAAATATGATATTGCTGGGAAAGCCGGTCCTGTAGAAAAAATTCACTGAAAAATTGAATATCTCAGTCTAGACAAGCCAATATTTTTACCTTGTTAGTTTGGCTATGAGAACTTTCATTTAATTCGAAAATATCCCGTTTTTCTCACGGACAGTACAAGCGCCTCCATTGTAAGATAACAAATCTTTCGACATGTACATTATTCAAGCCTACTTGACATTGTCAGATCAGAAACTTTCAATGATTTGAAGTAACTCTTTTTGTTAGTTTCACACACCGATATCGTTTATCGAAATGCAAACAGTATTTTGAATACATTGTGACCCTACTATTGTGCTTCACTGAAACTTTACAATGTGAAATATAGTATTTACATACATATATATATTATGGTACATGAAAGCGATATAAATATGAGGCTTATTTCAAGAAAAAAAAGTTGGCAATGCGGCAATGTTGTCTCTATCTCGTTATTATAATCGAGATGCAAAATAAAGTCTTTTTCAAATTTGTCGAAGAAATTCAACTGAATATTGAAGTCGAAATTTGAGTTTTGTTTCTTTTGCACAATAAGTAAGCAGCGATATAGTTATGCCCCATATTTCATTATCTCCGTATGCGCACAACATTTGTTATCAGATACTCATGTTTGAATGTCGACGACGTGTGTTAGATATCTTAGGTAGAGATTCTCTAGAAATAAAAGTGTCAGTATACTTGAGTGCAAATTGGAAACAAAAAAGATATCATTAGCAACAACAACAACAACAACAACGACTGTATAAAATAAAGTATTTATGACAAACTTTTGTGCTTGCTTATCTTTGTTTTGGGTTGTATTTTGTAAAATATTTTATAATTCATATGGCCCGATTTTAGTTTTGTGTGTTGACAATGTCTTTCAGATTTTCTATAGATTTTGAATGAATACGTTCACTAAAGTAATTCGTCTATTCATCGATGGCGTATGTGACGAGACGAGCGCAGGCATAGTAGATGCACGTGTTCGATCTATTGTTGATGTTGTTGAATGTCAAGTATTTCCAAGTGGCCTTTGCACAATACAAGTGGCGCCTAACACACAAACAACGGACACTGAACTTCGACTTCTCAATCATTTGACATTTGACAAGTAAGTAAACTATTTCCCACGATCTTTCATTCTCAATCAAGAAAAATTAAAAAGAAAAACGCCATATCTCTGATTTTTTTTGTATTTATTTTATCATAACGAGAATTCTTGCTAACATGAATTGTCCCAACTTTTCAGTATACAGAATGTCAATAATTATCAATTCATTTTTTCTCTAAAGGTATCGTGCAATGTATGCCTGCGATGCCGAAAGTTCGCATGTGTCTTGTATTGAAATACTTTTAATTGGTGTGCACAAACTTAATTATCACTATGTGTCCGATCGATTATATCAAGCAATTCAAGGACTTGTGTCATGTCGTTTTCTCAATGATGATGATGATAATGATGACAGTCGTGTCGAACTGAAATATGACTCAAGAAAACTCAGTCGATTTGAACTATTATCGATGATGCATAGTCTTGGTTATTCGGCGCAAATTGATCAAAATGAGTCAAATTTCGGATCTGGAATGGTCGTAGTACATATTCGTATTGAAGGCATGCATTGCAATTCATGCGTATCAAATATATGTACCACAATTGAAGATCTACCCGGCACTCTAGATATCAAATTAACTTTTCAAGAAAGCATTGCCACTGTGACTTATGATTCGCGTAATTTAAGTCTTACTCAAATTGTAACCGAAATTGAAAAACTTGGCTTTAAAGCTGCCATAATAACTGATCAACATGAAACCGGTTCGTATTGACTAGTCTTCATAATGCAGATTCTAAAAACGAAGTCTATTTATAAGTATTTTTTCTAATTGATTTCGATAGAACCATCACCATCCGAAGTCAGTAGTCGGAATGACTTCGCAAGAGCGACACACGCACGTAAAAAGCAAAGCGATGGCATTGAAACATGCTTCATTCAAGTTGAAGGCATGACTTGTACGTCATGTGTTGATAGCATCGAACGAAATTTATCAAAAGTCAAAGGTAAGAAAATACTCTAAAATTGCATTTTTTTTTCTCTCTCAATATTATCTACATAATATTTATAATATGAAGATCTTTTTTTAAACTTGCTAGGCATTCATTCTGTATTAGTGGCTTTACTAGCTCAGCGTGCCGAAGTTAAATACGATCCTGAGCATCTACTACCATCTCAGATAGCCGGTTTAATCAAGGGCCTTGGATTTCGCGCTCAAATACTTGACACAGCGACACGTGGTATCGATGTTATTGATGCTAATGTATGTTTAGATATCTAGGATGAAATTGTGTAGTCGTTTATTATGGAGACATTTTATAGATGAGAAAATTTTTCAGGCAAAATCGACTTTTTGTACTCTGAAATAACCTATATTTTCCTATCAGCAGCGTTTTCTCGAAACGAATGTTCCAAACAAGTGATGACATGGAAACACACTTTTGAAACAACAGACCTTAACGCGAAATAAAAACTAGTAATATATTAACTTATAAGTTTTTTTTATTGAAGATCGATGGCATGACTTGTGCTTCTTGTGTTAACAAAATTGAACGTCATATTAAATCATTATCAGGCGTCAAATCTATTGACATAGCTCTACTTACTCATCGCGGTCGTATAAAATATGATGCCAGTATTATCGGTCCTCGAGATATTATCATGCAAATCACGGTAATGAAAATCTAATACTACAGAGATTATGTATCGAATCTTAATATTTGCATATTTAGAATCTTGGCTTTCCTGCAACGCTTTTGTCAGACGATTACAAAAATGATGACTTGGCTAAATTACAGGAAAAAATGACGAAAAAGTGAATTCGTAATCTTTTTCGAATATTTTCAATTTTTTCGAACACTATTGATTGTTTGTAGATGGAGAAATGCATTTTTCATGTCTACTCTATTCGGTATACCGGCCATGGTGGTTATGCTTTTGTTCATGTTCAAATGGAAAGATCATGACAGTGTACCACAAATTCGAGATGGTCTGTCATATGAAAATGTCATCATGTTTGGCCTGGCTACACCTGTACAGGTACCATACATATATATATGTCGTAGGATAGATTAAAATCCAGTACAGTTTTAAATCGAACTAGGACAGATTAAAATTTTAATTTTTCCTAGTTCAGATTAAAATTTTAAATTGAATGTTCTAGTTCAGTTTAAAATATTTTGATTTTTCCTAGTTCAGATCAAAATTTTAAAGTCAACTAGTTGAGATTAAAATGCATTTCGAAGTCAACTAGTTCACTTTAAAATTTTAATCTGAACTAGGAAAAATTAAAATTTTAATCTGTCCTAGTTCGATTTAAAACTGTACTGGATTTTAATCTATCCTACGACATATATATATATTTCTTTTTTTTATAATGAACATGCTCTAGATCTTGTTTTTTACTTCTTTGTCGTATATGAGTAGATTGTTTGTGGTCGACATTTCTATGTCAATGCATACCGATCATTGAAACACAAATCAGCAAACATGGATGTTCTTATTGTAATGGCAACAACAATTGCTTATGTCTATTCTGTACTAATCATGGTTGTGAATATTATTCTTAAATTGGATAGTCCAATGACTTTTTTCGATGTCCCACCGAGTATGTGACAATTTTTGAAGAATCGATATATTTTTTTTATTTTTTAGTGCTCTTTCTTTTCATTGCACTTGGTCGATGGTTGGAAAATGTCGCTAAAGTAAAACATAGTTGTAGTTCTTTATTTAAAATAATTATCTAAGAAAAATAAGATTTAAACCAAAGAAGGTCGCTAAATTCTATTATACTTATCATGATAACAAAATCTAAATCAACAGAATTAAAAATATCTGTTTCGGTTGAAATAAATACGCGAGTCTCAGAAAGACTCTTCAAGAACAATTGTTGGGATAGCTTAATAATTTCGTTGTTCTAGCGATTTGATAATCATAGCCACATTCTCATCTCGCACTCTCAAAGTTTTAGTTCACAACGATAAAGATATGTGTACATGAGTTTATTTAGGGTAAAACATCGCAAGCACTGAAGAAACTCATGTCATTACAGCCTCTACAAGGCGTACTTGTTAAGCTTGACGAAAGAGGGAAAATTATCGAAGAACAAGTGATTCTCGCTCAATTGATACAGCGTGGCGATCTTCTTAAAGTTGTACCTGGTGAAACAATTCCTACCGACGGTCGAATCGTCGACGGTACGACTACATGTGATGAATCATTGATTACAGGTGAATCGATGCCAGTGGATAAGGCAGTTGGTGCTCAAGTAGTTGGTGGTACAAAGAACTTGGTTGGTTCTATTATAATGCAAGCGACACATGTTGGTCAAGAAACTGCATTGAAACAAATAATTAAACTAGTTGAAGATGCTCAAACATCGAAAGCACCTATTCAAGAGTTAGCGGATAAAATTGCAGGTGTTTTTGTTCCATTTATTCTTATTATTTCATTTGCAACTTGGCTGATCTATGTGATTATCGGTTATACTGCTTATGATAGTTTAAAGAAACATTCGAGTGTAAGAAATATTTTTTCAGTTAATGTATATATATATATATATCTGTTGTCTTATTTGATTTTAACAGTATGGTGGATCCAATATGACGCATTATAGTCAAAGTGAAATTGTATTCGAACTTGCCTTTCGATATAGTATTACTGTTCTATCTGTTGCTTGTCCGTGTGCACTTGGTTTGGCAACACCGACTGCAGTTATGGTAGCGACAGGTAATGTATATTATAGTGATTGTATTAATTCAATTTCAATTTTGAAAATATAAAAACAAACGAAAGGAAAATGAAGTCTAATCGTAATTGACTATTTCAGGTGTTGGTGCTGCAAGTGGTATTCTGATCAAAGGTGGTGAACCTTTGGAGTTAGCAAGAAAAGTACGAACCATCGTCTTTGACAAGACAGGTACGATTACGAAAGGAAAGCCATGTGTCGTCGACAAGCAAATCTTTATTGAAGATGATGATCACTTAACGCTTGATCGAATGTTAGCAATTGCAGGTAAATATGAATTTATCTAATGGCTATTCAAACAATTTTCTTTCGATTATATTAGCGACGGCTGAAAGTGGCTCTGAACATCCACTAGCGTTAGCAATACAGAACGAATGTAAACAAAGGTTTCGTACCGAGCAAAAGGGTCAATGTCTTGATTTCAAAGCTACATGGGGCTATGGTCTATTTGCTCGTGTGACTGGTATCGACTGCCTTATACCAGAAAGTGACACACAACGTTCTTATACGGTATTGATTGGAAATCGAGAGTGGATGGTGCGACACAACCTTAATGTCAGTGATCGTATTGATAGAGCAATGTCAATCCACGAACAGGATGGTCACACAGCTGTACTTGTTGGCATTGACAGTAGGATTCAATCAAGAGAATCTATTTCTAATCAATGGATATCTCATAATTCTTTTTCTCTTTTATTTAGATAAATTGGCCGGTATGTTTGTCATTGCCGATGAAATCAAACCAACAGCACCCTTGACAATTTTTGCTCTTCAATCACTCGGTCTACATACAATTCTACTAACAGGTGATAATATAAAGACAGCACGAGCAATCGCTGCCAAAGTTGGCATTAAATCTGTTTATGCTGAAGTACTACCTACACAAAAAGAACGTTTCATCAGTAAACTCAAAGAAAAAATGGATCCAAATGAGAAAATAGCTATGGTCGGTGATGGAATAAATGATTCACCTGCACTGGCTCGTGCTGATGTAGGCATTGCAGTTGGCAGTGGCACTGATGTTGCAGTAGAAGCTGCTTCAATTGTTTTGATCCGTGACGAACTTTTTGATGTTGTCACTGCTATTTTACTATCGAAAAAGACAATATGGCGTATATGGATTAATTTTATTTTTGCCATTGGATACAATACAATAGCCATACCGATTGCAGCTGGTAAGAGATTGTTTTTTGTTTCATATTCACAATCGATGCGTACATCAAATTGTAATTTTTAAAGTGAGAAATAATAGAAACTTTATATGTAGCAGTCTAAAAAATGATTCAGAATAGGGAGGGATCTTCTTGTTGGTTTTCATTCTACATGGGTATTAGAAAATTTAAAAAGACAATTCTAACACAGTGATTTAATCAGATAGGGGAGCTCGAGAAAACTACCTTCCATAATGTCGTTTACTGTACTCTAATCTCTAGGTGTTCTTATTCCTGCAAATATTCATCTCAAACCATGGATGGCTTCAGCTGCGATGGCTCTATCATCGATTAGTGTCGTTCTATCATCACTTTTGTTACGCTACTTCCGTAAACCAGAGATCAGAACTTATGAGAATAGCTCTTATAGACAGTGGTGTACCACCATGTCTGCTAACATCGAAGTTCATCGTGGTATCGAGAATGTCGTCGGTACTAGTCAACGTACAAGTCCAACTAGTTCACGTAGTGGTACCAGCAGTAAATTATCACAATTGCTCGTCGATGCTGTTTCAACATTTGTCAAACAAAGCTTCGGTGAAAAAGTTAAAAGCAAACTCACTACTACTACTACTACTATGGACGACAATATTGGTTTAATTGTAATTAAAAAATAGTTCAATCTGAGTTTGGCCAGGTTCTTCAACACAAAACCAATTGATATATGAACATCTATTTGACTTTTTCTATCGTTATTTTATTGAAAATAAAATAAAATAAAAAATTGACTGACAAGAACTTCTTGAAGGTATATTGTTGTTAGCATTTTGTTTTCTTGGAGATTTACGTTCATGCTTTTAAAAAAATTATATCGATAGATTATTTTCTTGAAAATGTTTTCGACTAAGTATTATTATGCATTTGTAATGATTGTTAAACAAGAGGGTGGGAATGTAGGTGTCATGCTCTTGTGGTTCACCAAAGCCCATCGATACCCACACATTTTGATGTCTTATTTGCATATGTACTTCTAAATATTTTTAGAGCAACTGTTCTAGCAAGCAACTAACCTAAACTCCGAGCTACTAGCTCGAGCTCGGGTTCGATGCATATCTAAAATTGCCACTAGCTACTGTGCTTCTAAGCATTTATAATAATATGTATAGATTAAGTTTCTTGTTTATGATCTTCGAATCATCTGTTGAACGTCTTAGCCGACGCGAAGTCCAGATCATGATAACTAGACATCCCCACACATCACTTTATACATGTTGCTCATTATGTTATAACATTTTTTATTTCATACATATCTCGACTTAGAAAAGTAATCAAATCTTGAATTGCTTCTCAGAAAATAAATCGTATCAGGCTCTATGAAGTTTGTATGATTGAGTTCTTTTTTACCTGTTCAAATATTTTTGTTTTCTCATATTCAAAATGACGCACTTGGATGACAGTCTTATTCCATATCATATTGAAACACTGTCATACAGGTTGACGATTTTGAATATAAGAAAAACATATATTGGCACAGACAGAAAAGAGCTCAATCATACAAGTTTTATAGAGCTTTCCGTGGCGCATACATTTATTTATCCCGATATACGTGAAATACAAATGTCACAACATTATGAATACATTATGTAGTAAAAAAATCTTCACTTTTTACTAATAAACCCGCCACAATAAAACGCTCCGGGTCTTCTATTATGTTCCAGCGTAAAAATTTTCCGGGGGGTCTTGTATTAAGAACCGCATTTTTTCCTAATATTTAATTTAAAAGGTTTTTCGGAAAACTAAGGCGATCGTCAGGATTTCCATCAGGATTTTCAGGGTTTCAAGGGTGTCATTGGAATTGTGAACACATTCTCTTAAGATTTCCAGCTTAAGATGCTAAGAATCAGGCATATTTTGATGGAAAAACGCTAATTAAAGTTCGTAATTAGCAAAAAATTAATTAACTAAAGGAGAATCTTCTGTTAAGCCGGACAAACTTTTTCTTCAAGGGGAGTCTTCTATAAGGGGGGGGGGTTACAGTTGTTTTTGAATTTAAATTGTAATTAATATTTAAGATAAATATAGAAGACTAATAAATAAAAGAATAAAAATTAAAAAAATGAAGAGAGGAAATCAATTAGCCACCATTTTAATCTGAAAATTTATATCATTCTTACGATCTGTCTGATTGGTGCCATTATGATAGACTATAGTAATTATAGCAGTCGACACAGTAGACATTGCTGTTCACATATTACTAGCAAGTAGCAAGTGATCACTGAACTATTCTGCAACAATAATAGGTGATCGAATGGATCTGTATCATCCGAGAACGACTCACCATTTACAACGAAAACAATCGTGCAAAGTACAATCATAATGATATTAAAATAATTTCTTTAGCAGAACCTAGGCAATCTAACTTTCGCCCCTGTAGTACATCTATTTGTTAAGGGAAATTGTAGGCATACTTAAAAATAACTAATCGAATTAATTATTTGGAAGTAGGATATTTGCTGATGAGAATTCCACACAAAAAGAACGGAAAATCTTTTAATAAGCCATCCAAATTTAAAATAAGATGATTGCATGGAGTTTCAAACTAATTCTGTTCTAATGTATTATATAGATGCTTCGATTTATATTTATTCAACATTATCACTTATACCATTTCTTGAAAATTCACTATCGTTATTTAATATTTATTTAAGACAATATTTTGAATGTTGCTTAGATAAATTTCTTCAACTATTCAAATCTGAATGTATGCAGAATGGATCACGAAAAAATAAAATCAATTGTATCAATAAGAATAAAACATGGTTAGCAAGTCAACAGTGAACTACGTAGAGCACTTATTATTAAAGCAAAAAGATGATGATGATTTATCGAAAACAACCAATAATCTTTGCAATACTGCCTGTAGTTATCGATCTGATGAATATACTGAACCAATACCATGAAATAAAGATTTATGAACATATTCAGATTATAAAATTTTTAACATAGTTTAAATCAATCAGATAATTGAATAAACCAACACATAATAATTTAATTAATCTAGATGATAACATATTCTATAAACAATTGATGAAATATCTTTTGTAGCAATAATAAAAATTATAAAAACTATTATTAACATCGTTTAGAATATTATAATAATAACAAGAGGGAGAAGCGTACTTCTGTATATTGGAAGTACTCAAAAGAACGGAAAATAACAAAGTACATGGAAGTATGACGAAGTAGGAAGAAGTATGACGAAGTAGGAAGAAGTATGACGAAGTAGGAAGAAGTATGAAATACCGAGAAATTCGAGGAATTACAAGGAAGAACGCATAAGTACAAGGAAGTATGAATAAGTACGAGAAAGTGCAAGGAAGAATAAACAAGTACTAGGAAATATGAAACAAGGAGAAGTACAGAGAAGTACAAGGAACTATGGAGAAATACATGAGTACAGACGTATACTTTTTTCTCTTGAATAGGAAGAACAATTAACGCTTACGTTCAATATCAAAAATATTTTCAAAGCGTTATAATCGAGATTTATGACTTTTTATTTGAATTTATTCCTGATGAAATATGAACAGGAAACTATGTTGAAATAATGTAAAATGACTAACTCATTTTGGATGGGAATATCAAAATATTAAATCAGAACGAAGTAACACAACAAATATAACTTCAAGTATTAATGAGAATTTATTTAACAACTAATGAAAGATAAATGTTATTATAAATTTTCATATGACAGGCAGATGTTTTCAATAGAACACTAAATATTATGATGTCATGTTGAATATATAGATCGCTCCTCTTCCTTTAACAAGTATAGTATCGAGATTCTTTTCTTTTCTTTCTTCAAAAATCCGAAGTATCAATGAGTAACAAGTGTGATCAATAGAGAGAATTGAATTACGTAGACTATTTTTCGCTTGCTTATAATTATAAATAAACAGTTGAGTTTAGCTGTTCCATTAAGTTCTAATAATTTCTCACTGTTATTTTATCTTTTGCTTCTCAGCAGATAGAAACATAGTTTATCTTTCATGTCTTGAAAATTGAGATACTTACGAGTGGCAAGATCTTTCTTGACAGTAGTGTTATAAACATGTTTTTTTTGCCTATACTTTTTCTCTTTAATCGTGTCAGCCAAAAATTCATTAAGAATCATTGAAGCGAAAATATCCTGTGCGGATGCGACACATGTATTCTTGTCTATATGTATCGGAATGCAACTTGTTCTCGACTTAGGGGGGTTCTTTTCTGTCACCATGTATTTTTCTGAAATGGCTTCAACAAAAGTCAATAAGAAAATCTTGAATATTTCTTTCCTGTGAGGAGAATGCAAACGTTGATAGACAGAATGAGTCTCTACTGCTTAAGTGGATTGAGTTGGTTGACTGAATGCTGCCATGTGGGTCTTTTATATTTATATTTACCATTTTCATTTCTCTTCTTCTGTCTTTCAGCTAACGCGTGTAGAAAAGGCCAAAATAAAAATGTTGAAATAGAAAGCACTGAAAAAAGCACTCAACGAAAAACATTGCGGGATCAAAAAGGTATAAAACCTACCTAATGATGCTCATGTTAGAAGAAAAAATGCCGAACGCATAAAAATATCGAAAAATTAGAAAATGTTATATACAAATAATTTATTGCTGCGTCAAGTTCTATTAGTGTCTAAAATTGCCTTATGATATTTTTATGAATGTCCATTGTCTAGTGCGATTGTTAAAATTAAAATTAAAATAGTCATCGATCAGGAATAGAATATTCATAAAATATCTGCATCTGAACAATCCAATCTACTGTATTTTACAGTTTTCAACGATGTTTTCAGTGTAAGTATCATTCAATGCTTGTCTTTTTTCTGTCATTTTCTATTTAGATATTTTTGTATCGATTTTTTAATGTAATTCTTCCTACTTTTTTCTTGCTTGATTCTTATTGGTCATGTTTTTATTTATTTTTCTCATTCTGCTATTGTTTTCTCATCTTTTAACAGCTAGTATTTGATTGTTCTTTGTATCAGCATTGTGAAAATACTATATTGTAGTCTAGTGCGCTATTGATAAAAATTTTACGCATACTGTTCTAGTTTTTTTACTTGCTGCGATTCTAAATTATATTTCCACATCTCTGTGTGACTATTTACAAGCGTAACAGTAAACAGCCTATTCAAGAAAAAAAATATACCTACGATCCATCGAGTAACTTAAAAAATGCTTAACATTGATGATCATTGACGTTAGAGAATGAAATAATATCTTACAATGTATTTTTCGACTTAGTGGAAGAACCTATCAACGCTGAGATTTTAAGATTCTTTTGAAGGTATTGAATTGATTTATCGATAGCATAAAATGTATTTTCATTATACTGGAACAGTAATAGTATTCAGAGAGGTTAAACTCTTTTTCTTAAGTGTTATGCCATTTTAAGTGTCCTTCTTATCTTCAGCTCAATTCTTCCGTGTAATACTAAAATATATAGCGAGAATATATAGAAAAATCTCATTAAATCCCAATAAATGCCGAAACGAAAAATTCTGGAAGCTATTATTTTCACATGTTCGAAGAATTATTCGGATTAATGTATGAAAAAAGCATTGTAGGTTTAGTCTTCATTAATTTTCAGCCACGAGTTTTGGAAATTGTCAAAAAATATTTAAATCAGCACAAAACCAATGTAAAACCGAGCAAAAAAATTTCCAATCGATTAATACTTGTGCTCAGGTGATTCGAGTTAGAGGTTACAAGAAGCATCCGGAATACAATAATGAAGCACGTTTGAAAGTACGTATTATAAAGCCATATACGTACTATGTGCTATTAAAACAGAGCTACCTCATTACTCAATATATTCATTCTAATGACTAATGCACAAGATGAAAAGTTGGACGTCTCACTCATTTATGAATGCCTACTAATAGGATTCATAGACATTGCATGATTCTTAAAAAAGAATGTCACCCGATCAAATTATGCTATTGAAACGATAGCAATGATGCATTTCGGACAAAATAAGCGCAACATATCCGAGCTACCTTTCCTCCTACCAGAACAGACTTCACTCGAGCATACTTGAGCATAAATTTACGAGATCAGTACTAAATAGTCAGTGAAATCGTATTGTTCAGTGTCATAATAAAGAAAATACTTGAGTACATCAAATGGGCTCTCATATATTAGCTATAAACAAAACTGACGCATATCATTCATCTATCATTCAGTCAAGATAGTCGAGAGTGAGATTTTTTATGGTTATTTGTTGTTGTTGTTGTTCTGAATTTTATTCATAGTATGGCTACAAACGGAAAAAACTGGATCGTATGAGTTGTGTGATATTGTATTAGGCTTATACAGAAGTTCTTGGTGGGATAGACGTTTCAGTCGAGGTTCGGCTTTACTAAAACTAGAAACCATGTGAGATGTATTATTCAATATTTTGAGGATTATTGCAAATAAAGTTACTGATTAGAGATACATGATTTAATGTCTGACATACAGTGGTCAAAGCTCCTATTTCATTTTATGTCGGATGCCCTTCGAAAAATCTTACACCCTAAGAAATAATGATGAACATGAAAACGATAAATTGAGAACAAGAATGATGATAATTACACGCGCTTCACATAGATGTGGACTGAATCCCTGTAAATTCGCTCGTTGTCAGTTAGCTCCTTTGATCAACGATAATGACAAGTAATGAATGCATCAGCAAAAGAAAATATTGGAAGGCTTTTGCCTCCATTTGAAAATGGCCGACATTAGGAATGTAGCGACGCAAAAAAGTGGTTGTGTTACGAAATGTTTTTGAGAGCAAAACAATTGTATACGCAATTTTCTAAAACGGAAGAGGTGCTGAGCAATATTCTTTCATTGAATAACCCTTTTTGTTTAAATAAAAACATACGATTTTGATTGGAAAAAGTGAAAATTCGCTGAATGTAGGAGGGGCTGCGCACTTCGCCCCTGACGGTTACTTTACTTCCGTGAACAACATTGTACAGAAACATGGTACTTCACTTTTCACCGAAAATCACTCGTATTAATGACGTTGTTTAATTTTCATCCATTTCATAACTGCGAATATTAATAATCACTTGCCTCGGGAAGCAAACATTTCGTTGCTCCGGACGGAAGTACACGTCTTCATCTATGTATAAAAGAGTGTCGATAGTTACTCGAAATCCTCATCAATTGCAAACAAGCTAATTCGTATCGTCGCAATCGAGACAAACCAAAACTACAATGAATTCGATATTTTGTCAAAGTCTCCTCTTACTGCTGGTTATTTTGACTACATGCCAGGTAGATTTGTATCATTATTGAATATTTTGGCCTTTCAAAAATTTCTTTTTTGCAATATTGTTAGGCTGGTAAAGTTGCTTGCTATCAATCTGCCGTTCTTCTCAAGTGTCCTTTGAAAGCCTGTGCTGCAATTGGCAATGTCAGAAACGACGAGATTTATCCAAGTGATTGTTTCGTTATTGGGAAAGATCCTGGACTAAATTCAAAATACTATCGTATCAATTTACACGCTGGCGGGTACGGCTACGTACTTAGCAAATATTGTTCAGGCGACGTCGATATGTGTTAACGTTCTTTTCTGAGATTTGAACTCTGATTTATCCTACTTCCGAAATTCGTTTTGTGAAATCTATAATTATTTTAATAAATCAAGATTATTTGTTCTAATACTTGCATAATCTGGCGGTCTATCATTTGTTGAGCTATTTGACCTTTTCATTCATATTCAAAAATATTCCTGCGTGGAATTAGAGCCTGTCATATGCACTCGTTTTCGGATTTTGACTCATACCCACTCCATCTATACTTTAATACAAGTAATGAAATATTCTAAGCAGAATTGGAGAGTTTTTCCAAAGTATGAGATATTTTTATTCGGCTGCTTACATTCTGTAGCTAGCGCATGCAGTGTATTTCACAGGTGTATCCGATGAACAAAAACAATTGCAGGTCCTCATGTTTTCAGAAATTTTAGCATTTCTGGCACGCTCTCATGTATAGCATAGCAAGACCAAGTAGAAATGTAACTCTTGCAAAAAGTTCTGTTCCGGCACATGCTCATGTTCCTATAGAATTTGTATGGACTATTCCGCAAATAAACACACATGCAAGCAGCGAAAGTCAGTGAAACTTGAGTTAGAGTCTTATTTGAGGGTGTGCCTAGTGGCGTACCTAGGGTAGGGCATGGTAGGGCTCAGCCCAACCGCCGTGGCTGTGCATCGTACCATCGATTGTTGTTAGAAACAGATGATTTTTTTATAATGCTAGACACAATAAAACACTGCATCATTGCATTCGCTCCGATCTCTTTTTCAGTTTGATACTAAAACTTTTTCCATTACAAATGAAAACTAATTTCTCCTCATGATGCA